TTTTTAATGTACCGCTCACCTCCCCCATGCCTGGATCTCATTCTGTACATGCAGACACAAAATCAGGTGTAGAACTACCTGGCGAGACCATTATGCAGGACGCATAAGCAGGCTGAGAATTGACTGGTTTACAGGTGGGTTCAGGATCCCAGCAGAGGAGCTCCTCTTCTAGGAAGCGGGGCTTTAAGCCACTGTAAAACCTCTATTCAAAAAATGTCATTAGGGAGTCAGGTTTAATTCCTACCAATTCTTTAATTCATCCTAATCAAGAAATAATGTTGATATCATAATTCTATTGCAACAGTGAAAACCCCAAATGTAAGAGTTTAAGGGAACATCTTAGCTATCCTAAGTTTTTGGGAAATGGCCTTTAATCAAGTGATCTATTTGGAACATTTTATCTTAGTTGCATCAAGGATTTAGTTTAAGTGCTTTTGAGAATGTGAGCTACCTAATTGTGATATGTTTGATCATCTATTTTTACTTCAAAGCACGAACCTTTTAAAATCAGTATGGATGTTCCCCTCTTGTTTTCATAAACACCTACCAAAGTCTCAGAAGTTCTATCAAGCCTAACTCTGATTAAAACTGATGTTTTAATTTTTAAAGATATTTCCAACTTTAGACTTTAGCTTTCTTGTCCTCAACCCGACAGTTCAATAAATGTCTCTTCCTTTTCTGTGGTGCATAAGAAAGGCAGGTCACAGGTGCTCCTGAAAACACTCAATCAGTGTGTATGTGTCTGATAAATTCTGTGGCTGGCAGTCATCCAATATTTATCAAACAATTATGTATCAGGCACTGAGCAAAGTGTTCAGTGTAGAAGGGGCTTCATGCGTTGTTTTGTGTCTAAATGACAGATGTGTATTACAATTCTCATCAAAACTAAAGAAGTCAGCCAGAAGAAAAGATTACATTTCTTGTTAGAATACCAAGTTGCTACCCATTTTGTAGTTATCACATTTGAGACAGTGGTAACTATAAAAAGAGCAAATATTTAATTATGTTATGTGTGCAAGAATGACTCCAGAGTAAAAGATGACTTGACATGTGAAGGCCAGGACCAAATTTTATGTATTGCTAAAACCCAGCAATACCCACAACAGCACTACACAGAGTAGATACTCTTTAAGTCATTATTCCTGAAAAATAAATCACCCTAAACAGTATCATAGAAAAAAAATTATTATCCTCACAGATTATGTGGGTACTACTGGTATAGCTTGTGTCTGCACCGTGACCTCTGGGGCCTCAGCTGGGAAGACTTGAGGATGTCTGGAGGTGACTCAATGGCAGGGGCTGGAATCATCTGAACACTTGCTCACTCACATGTGTAGTGGTTGATGCCAGCTGTCAGGCAGGACCATGGCTGTCCATGAGCTGCTTGAGCTTCCCTCCAGCATGGCTGTTGAATTCTAAGATCAAGTGTCCCAAGAAGAACTAAGTGAAAGGCTTTAATAATCTAGCCTTGGAAGTCACACAGTATTCCTTCTACTGTAGTCACAAGCCTAAGGAAGGAGAACATAGACCGCCACCTCTCAATGGGTGTGTCAAAGTCATGTTATAAGAACAGCATATTGAATGGGAAATAATGTTGCATCCTTGGGAAATAAAATCAGCCACACATATGGAGTACATAATCAATGAATGACTGAATGGCATTATAGACATTAGTGCTTCTCTCCAATACTTCATGTTCTCCTTTAAGAACCCATGGTGCATTCTCACGCCCCCTTGAAGTTAGCCAAGACCCAGTGACTTTGCTTTGGTCAATGAAATGTGGATGGAAGCGGCTTATGTGCTGTAGGAAAGATTTACAGTTGATCCTCATTATTCAGATGCTGTATTTGCAAATTTGTGCACTTGCTGAAATACATTTCTAACCCCACAGTGAATACTTGCGGCACTTTGCAGTGACTCACAGACACGCACATACATAGAGCAGCAGAAAATTTGAGTTGCCCAGTGCACACATTCCCAGCTGAGGTCGGATAAGGTGAAGCTCTGCCTTCTTGTTTCAGCTCTCATTCTCTGAACAATGTCCTTTTCACATCTATGTAGTGCCATGTTTTTTGCATCTACATAGTGCCATGTTTTTCGCATTTTTGTACTTTTTGTTGGTCATCTCGCTGTTTAAAATGGTCCCCAGTGCTGAAGTGATGTCTAGTGTTCCTAACTGTGAGAAGGCTGTGATGTGCCTTAGGGAGAAAATGTGTGTATTAAATAAGCTTCATTCAGGAGTGAGTTACAGTGCTGTTTGTCGTGCGTTTAATGTTAATGAATCGACAATGTATACTAAATAAGGTTTCTTTATACAGAAACACACATAAAACAAGGTTATGTATTGATTGGTTGACAAAAATGTTGTGACCAGAGGCTCACAGGAACCTAACTCTGTATTTCCCCTAGGAGCAATGGTTCAATGCTCCCTAATTCAGTGTTCGTGGTGACTTTACAGAACATAACTACCGTGAATGATGAGAATTGGCTGAAATTACTGCTTCAAGACTCTCCTGTGCTCTCTTCCCCAGCTGGGGTGACTGTGGAGGCAGCCATGGACAGAAAGGTGCCACACTGCACCGTTCACATGGAGAGGGGATGTCCTGATGAGTCAGTCAGACCCAGTGAGGACTTTGAGGACAGAGGGCAATGAGGATTTCATCCACAAGCAAGAAACCAACTGTTGCTTACAGCCAGTGAGATGTAAGGTTGCTTCCACAACATAACTTAGTCTCTCCCGACCAACGCAACCATTAAATACCTACTCCTAAAATATTGCTTGTTAATTGCAGGCAAAGATTACTTGGAAAACAAACAAAACAGAAACATTTGGGTATATGGATAACTACCCCCCTCAGCCTCCACTTTGTGGACTTTGAAATGTGAAAAATAGAATTTATCTCTATCTCAAAATTTTTCGTACAGCTTAAATAAAATATCTGCTTCATAGTGTCACATACACATTGGTTAAGTATGAGCTAATAACATAATTTAGCCATAATTAATCAATAAGAAAACTAAATTGATTATTTTGAAATAGGTATAAAATTTGAATCTTATGAATTTTATTAAACTTGTCCTAACTGATATCTTATTATTTTGAAATAAATCCTTTTCTTTCCTTCCTTTTGTTCTTTTATATGACTAATTACCACCTTTAAATATAGATGATTCAACCTAGTCATCTGCTGTTCTCTTCATTAATTGTATATTCCAAACCCTAAAAAATGAATGTCTCCAAATTTAGCCCCAGTTTTTCTACAAATAAAATGCTTTCCCCCTAAAAAGGCATTGAAAACTGTAAAAAACATTACGAAGATTAAAAGAACAGATTTCTTAACCAACAATGTAAATTACTTACTTTTCCTATTTAAAAAAAAAAAACCTGCAATAAAGTAAAATCATATTCTTAACTTTGCAAAGTCACCTAAGCAATGGGTCACATCTGTTACATAGTTAAAATAAGCAGGCTATTTTTAAAAATATGTCAAAATTCATTATTGAGCTCTCACTAAATAATTCAACCTTAGCTGTGCATAATAATAGATTTGATATAACCACTAGAAAGTCCACAGGCCACTGCACAGTTGTTTGAGGGAGGGAAGGACAAGGAAAAGAGAGAACATCTATTGTTTTAAAAGCACTAGTCCCATACAATGGGATATTTTCCAGCAATAAAAAAGAATGAAGTACTGGTACACGCTACAACATGGATGGATCTTGAAAACATTATAGTAAGTGAAAGATGTCAGTCACAAAATATCACATGTTATATGATTCTGTCTGTATGAAATATCCAAAAGAGGCAAATCCATAGAGACAGAAAGTAGATTAAGGACTGCCAGAGGTTGGGGAGGAGGAAAGATGGGAGTGTATGCGGTTTCATTTTGAACTGATGGAATGTTTTGGAATTAGATGGTGGCGATGGTTGAGCAACATAGTGAATATACTAAAAACTGCTGAACTGTGCATCTTAAAATAGTGAATTTTATGTAATGTGAATATCTCAAAAAAAATTTTTTAAAGCACTAGACACACCCACTAGATGATTATAATCAAAAAGCCAGATAATAACAAGTGTTGGTGAAAATGTGGAAAAACAGAATTCTCATACCCTGCTGGTAAGAATGTAAAATGGTTTAAAAAAAAAAAGTCTGGCAGTTCCAAGAAAGCTAAATATAGAGTTACCATTTGACCCAACAATTCCACTCCTGGATATTTACCTAAGGGAAATGAAAACATACATCCACACAAAAACTTGTACAAGAATGTTTATAGCAGCATTATGTATAATAGCCAAAAGTCTGAAACAACCCAAACGTCCGTCAATGAATGAATGGATAAAATGTTTATCCAAGGGAATATTGTTCAGCCATAAAGAGGAATGAAGTACTGATACATGCTACAACCTAGATGAACCTTGAAAATATTTTGCTAAGTGAAAGAAACTAGTGACAAAGGACCTCATACTAGTATGATTCCATTCATAGGAAATGTCCAGAACAGACGAGCCTATATTAGTAGTATACTAGAAGTTGTCCAGGCCTGGTGGATTGTGCATTGGAAAGTGGTAACTAAAGGGGATTTCTTTAAAGGGGTGGGGAAGGTTATGAAAATGTTAGAAAATTGTGGTTATGGTTGTGCGACTGTAAATATACTAGAAACCATTGAACAGTACATTTTAAATGGGTGAACTGTATGATATGTGAATTATGTCTCATCGCTTGGAAAAAATAAAGAGTACTTCTAACTAAAAATTTTAAAAAGCACTAGGGTCTGGCCTTGGCGCCCTCACCACGCCCCCGTCCTGTTAGGTCTGGTGGAATGACTCAGGGGGTCATTTTGGGGAAAAAATTAAGAAACCAGGACAGTTCAAGATTCCCCATCATCTCCACTCGCCAGTGGCCTTGAAGGCCGCCTGGGACCTAGGTCGCTGTCTAGGTGTGATTAGGGCCGCTTGCCCTGGCCGGGCCGCCCGACCCGACCCACGCGTGGGGCGCATGGCCGCAGGGGTGCGGGCAGATGCTCCCTCTCGCCTTTCTCTGAGCTCAGCCGCGCCGAGACCCCCGCGCGGGGCAGGCGGCCGCTCACGCCGCTGCTCAGGAGGAGACCGGCAGCCGAAGCGGCTCGCAGCGCGGGTGTGGCCGCGGGAGAGGCGCCCAAACCGGTTCCACAGAAACCGCGCCAGCCGGCTGCTCCGGCCTCCTCCACCCCGGCTCCCCACGGTGGGCACCTCTGCGTGCGCGTTCCTTTAAAAACAGGGCGAGGGCGGGAGGAAAGCCAGGCAGCCGCGGGCCCCGCCACCCTGTCTCCAGGTTCAGCTCCCCCTGCCCGGGGGAGGGTGACTGTGCAGGGAGCGCGGCCTCGGTCGAAGACGCCCGCGGTCCGGACCGGCCTCCTCTCGCTCGCGGC